CCGCGGACCCCAGAGAACCGCGCACCAAAGGTCGCTCTTACCCAGGGTCACTCTTGCGTGTAGTCAGCAGGGGGCCCGCCGGTGGCCGCGCGGCCGCAGCTTGCACAGAACGGGCGGGGTCGGCCGCCGCCAGACGTGGCATTGGGCATCGCTCGGATGTGTGGATTTTTTCTCCGGCCAGGACCATCGAGGAGCATCTTGGGTACCCATTGGTCGTTGAGAGTAGGTTTTTTTTGGGTTTGAATCACAGATCGGGATATCCTTCCAACGTCTTCCTACTTGCTGTTTCTACCTACTTCTTCCGATCGATGGGTAATCTCGCGAAGGAATACACGCACGACATCGACACGTGCGCGGGGAATGGACGTCCGAACAAGGGCAAGGTTGAAGCGGATGCCAGGCGCGTTTACAATGAATCGAATAACAAAACACGGAATAAACAAGCATTCGGAGCTCCGCGCGGACTTCCTGGATCTACGCTAGAGCACCCCTGGCGGCGCCTCCAGTGTCGCCCCTTATGCGCGGAGCGCGCAAGGGAGGGGTCTGGCGCAGATCCATGAAATACGCCCGGATCTCCACAAATGTTGTTTAGGCCGCTTCTTTTTGCCTTCTCTGATGAAGGAACGGGTTTCTGAGGGAAATGGGTGCTGGAGTTGTTTTCCTGCTTTCGGACCCCGTGGGCCACCCCCGCACTCGAGGTGAAGAGCCGCTCTTTGGGGAAGAGCCCCATGTTCCAGGGCCCATGCCAGGCGTGCCCTCCCACAGATACCTCCTTCGAGGCCGCCAGGGTCTCTTCGGCTGATCAGAAGGGGCCTGCCATTGAGTTCGTTTGGTGCTCCGTAGATGAGGTATGGGGGAGGGGGGAAGGGGAACAAAGGGAAGGAAAGAGGGGACAGGGGCGGATGCATGGAAGCAGGGTTGCGGAGGAAGCACGGTAGAGGCGAAGGAGGAGGGCGAGGAGACGGAGGATCATGAGGATGACGAGATGGGAGGCGACGACGTGTGCGATGACGAGAGGGAGAAGCAGCATGTTTCCGATGAGGACGACGAAGAGGAGGTCGAGAGCATGCTGAGGAGAAGGAGGCTGACAACTATGCAGGGAGGGAGTGAGCACTCCGGGCGAGGGAGGAAAGGACTGAGGGAGAATCCGATGGTGATGCTGCTGATGGTTGTGTTGATGAGGAGCTGTGTGTGCGTGTGTGAGTGCGCGTGTGTAGCACGTCAGCCCAGCATAAACTTGTAAAACACTCCCATGCAGTCGAACGCCTTTTTCTCACGTCTCCTCCCTTTCACTTCTCCTCCATCCCCCTGCGGGAGGGGGGCGATTCGAATGCTATGATGATGCTTCGGCGGCGAGCGAGGGGGAACTGAGAGCGATAAGGCCCACTCAGAAGTCGGCGGGACTTCTCAGAAGCTCTCGCACCTTCTGAGAAGTTTTCTGTGTCGTCGGGGGAGGCTTACAACTGAGAACACTTCTCATCATGCCAGGGGACTTCCGAGCCTTCTGAGAAGGCCCTCCCTTTCTCACTTACGAGTTACGATCGGATGTTGTTCGATGTTGAGGCTGTTGCAGAGGATGATGACGACGACGTGGATGGATGAGCTGATCATCTGGGAACATGGCATACTCCTGATGGTCGTGGTGATGAAGGCGGAGGAGGTGAGGATCGAGAAGGAGCATCGAGGAAGAGGATGCAGGGCGATGGGAATCGACAGGAGTAGGGGGAGGACGAGGAGGAGGGGGATGCAGGAGGGGGAGGGAGGAGGAGGGCGAGGGGAATCGGGATGAGGAGCGAGCGAGGGGAATCGGGAGGAGGGGGGAGGGAGGGACGAGGCGGCGGCGAGAGAGCGAGGGAGCGAGGGAGCGAGAGAGCGAGGGAGCGAGAGCTGGGCCGCTCCAGAGGAGCTCGCGAGGAACTGCTGGGGCAGGCCAGCCCAGCCTGCCCCCCCCCCCCCTCCCCAGGGGGGGCCGCCCCGGGCTCCCCCCCCGCCGCTTGTCAGGGGGAGGAGAGGGAGGAGGGAGAGAGGAGGAGGAGAGGAGGAGGAGGAGGATGAGGAGGAGGAGGAGAGGGGGGGGGGAGGAGGAGGAGGAGGAGGGAGGAGGAGGAGGAGGAGGAGGAGGAGGAGGAGGAGGAGGAGGAGGAGGAGGAGGAGGAGGAGGAGGAGGAGGAGGAGGAGGAGGAGGAGGAGGAGGGAGGAGGAGGGAGGAGGAGGAGAGCAGGGATAAGGAGCCGATGTGAAGAACGAGGAGGAGGAGGAGGAGGAGCAGGAGGGAAGGGGGGATTGTGGTGGACCTCGCCTTTCGAGTGGTGTTTCCGTATGGTTATCTTCAGGGGTAACGCATCATTATTCCACTGTTTTATCCTTTTATTTCTCCTCCGTCTCCTCCTTTTCCTCCTCCGTCTCCTCCTTCTTCTCTTCCTCTTCCTCTTCCTTCTCCTCCTCCTCCTCCTCCTCCTCCCCACCTCCCACATTTTCGTTGTTGTTTCTCTCCTCCCCACCTCGCCGCAGGAAAACGCGAAGCCGTTTTTTTTTTGAGGGGGGGGGGGGATGGGGGGTGGCGACGGCGTACAAAAATAATGATCCGACGTGGCCTCATCTGCCCTCACCCCTGGAAGGATTCCGATTGAAAGCCCCCACACTAAGGGTTCATAGCGAAGTCCTCCACAGGAGGATTCCGATCGAAACCCTCCACAGAAGGATTGCTGTTGGACTCCTCCACACGTTGGTTCCCAGTGGGATCACCTTGCAGAAGGATTGCTATTGAGATGCCTCGAAAGAAGGAATCCCCCCCGTTGGCACTGAATTGGCATTGGTTCGGCAATGGTTTGACACTGCGCCGGGACTGTGCTTTGCAGCGCGTGGGCACTGCGCTGGCACCTCGCAAGCACTGCGGCGGTGGCGGATCCGGATGGAACCCTCCACAGGCGGATTCCTGTTGACCCCCCCCCCGTAAGCAGGACTCCTATGGAAAACCTCCACAGCAAGGGATCAGATTGAAAGTCTCCACAGAAGGATTCCATGCGAAGCCCTCCGCCGAAGGATTCCGATTGAGCTCTGCCAGAAGTTGATTTCCCCAAGTGACATTGCATTGGCATTGGGCTGGGATCGCCTTCGCATTGCGCTGGCGTTGCGTTGGCACTGCTTTGGCATTGCTCTGGCATTGCGCTGGCGAGTCCGAATTACTCCCTTCGCAGAAGGATTTCTATTGAAACCCTCCACAAAAAAGGAGTCCGAATGACATCTAGCACAAAGGATTGCCCCACTGGCATTGCATTGGCATTGGGTTGGGATCGCCATGACATTGGTTTTGCATTGCGGTGACACTGCGTTGGCATTGCGCTGGCGAGCCCTAATCGGACGCTTCACATGAACATTCTTATTAACACACCCCGATAAGAAGGATGCCTAGTGACCCCCCTCCCCACACACACACAAACACACGAAGGATTCAAGTTGAAATCCTCCACATAAGGATTGCATTCGAAGCCCTTCACATAAGGAATCCTATTGAAATCCTCCGAACATGGGTTCGCAATGACATCATCCTAGAAGGAATTCCATCGACATACACTAAGGATTCCCATTGAAATCCACCACACAGGGTTCGTGTCAACGACATTGCATTGGCATCGGATTCGGGTCGCCTTGGCATTGATTTGGTATTGTGTTGACACTGTCTGAGCATTGCGCTGGCATTGCAATGGCGAGTCCTAATGCCCCCCTTCGCAGAAGGATTCCTATTGAAACCCTCCACAAGACACATCATTCCTATTGGAACCTACCACAAAGGACTGTCCACATTGGCACTGGATTGGGGTCGCCTTGGCATCGGTGTGGCACTGCGTTGGCACTGCTTCAGCAGTGCGTTGGCGAGTCGTAATGCCTCCTTCGCAGAAGCATTCCGATTGAAACCCTCCGCACACAATGATTCCTTTTGACACCTACCGCAAAGGATTGCCCCCAACAGCATTGCATTGGCATCGGATTTGGGATCGCATTGGCATTGCGATGGCGAGTTCCAACGCCTCCCGTCGCAGACGGATTTCTATTGCAACCCCCAGGAGGATTATTATTGAAATCTACCACAAAGGATTGCCCCCCCCAGCCCGCACCCGCCGACTGCATCACGAGCCTCAGGCGACGTTGCAATATCCAGCATTCCGTTCCACGATTCCATCATCGGATCTTCCTCCCCATCCTCCTCCTCATCCTCCTCCTACCCTCCGTCTCCCCCGTCTTTATGCACACGGGGCCTCACGTGGAGGGGAGAGGATCGAGGTCAGAAACTGAGAACGAGAGATAGAGAGAGAGAGACAGCGCGAACGAGAGAGGGAACTATGCGAGCAGAACGAACAACACGAAAGAGGAACGAGAGAGAGAGAGAGAGCGGGATAGAGAGAGGTAGAGAGAGAGGCGAATAGAGCGGGATAGATGATAAGAGAGGGGACACAACATAAGAACCAACAGGACGACACCGTTGGAAACGAGCAACACGCCCCACAGCTTCCGAAGGTCAACACAAACTGCCCCCCCCCCCCCCCCCCCCGAGCACGGTCCTCGAAATTGAAACCCCATGCCGCTTGGCATGGGGTTGGAATTTCGAGGACCACGCTCGGGCTGGCGATGATTGCTTGAAGGCTGTCGAAACCAGGCGGATAGAGAAAGAGAGACGGGGAGAGAGAGATAGAGAGAGACAGACGAAGAGAGTGGAGTATATGACGAGAGAACGAACGAACGAACGAAAGGACGATCAGGACATGCGAACGCAGCAAAGGCATACCATCAACACTCCACTCAACAAAGAAAGGCGGAGGAGCGTTTCACTCGATACAAAACATACGAAAACGACGAGGTCCTACACACTCCCTCGGCCTCAAGGATGACCAGTGTAAGACGCATCAGTTTTGTTGCACTAAGCAGTCTTTCCAAGGTCCCTCTTCACGGGTCCCTGCAATCATTCATTTTCGATGTTGGATTTGCCCCGTTGGAAGACAATCGTCTGATAATCCTCAATCGCTCCAAAAGACCACACCGTGGAATTCGACACCGCGAATCCGCTTCACTGCTGCGTCCTGACGATCCTGCATCGTGCCAGAAACCATTCCTGGCATTCGTGACTGTTGCGCCCTGGCAATCGCCATTCCTGGAACGTCAATCACAAGCATATGTTGATCCGTTGCAGACTTCCATAGCACATGTTCGCGGCGCTCAAGCCATAACCGCATTTCCAAACAGAGCCGCTTTCCATCCGCAAAAGTTCTGCACACCTTCAGGACGAATGTGCGCGGCGCTACTGCGATAACCACAGGTTGAAAAAGGAACCGCCATCTATCCGTGACACAGTTTGCAGACTTCTAAGACGAATGTGCGCGCATGTTCGCAGGGAGACGCCCTCAATCCGCCAATCATCTGCAATTTTTTAATGCGATCGTCCGCGGGATTACGGCGAGAGCCGCATGTCGAGGAGGAACTTTTCTCCGTCTCCTTCCAATTTTGAAGACGAAGCCGACCCGCCCTCCATCCGTGAAAGTCATGGCAGATTTTGAAGACGAATGTGCGCGGCGCTGAGGCGAGAACCACATTCAGAAAACGACCCCCCCGCCATCCGTAAAACTATGGCAACTTCAAGGTGGTAGCGCGCGGCGCTAAGGCGAGAGCCGCTTTCTGGAAGCGACGCGCCCTCCATCCGTGAAGTGGATGCAGACTTTGTAGACGAATGTGCGAGGCGCTAAGGCGAAATCCACTTGCTTAAAATCGTGCAAATCTTCAGCGTCAGGATCACAAGTGGTTAGGAAGCCTCAGGCACATCGCCTGGCCCGCCCTACCAACACGACTCGGGGTGAGACAGGGCACCGCTCTACGTACACGTGTAAGGAAAAGGGGTAGACGAGGAGGAGCCGTCTTTGTGGAGGTGGAAACGGCGGTGTGGAGGAGGAGAAAGAGGGGGATGAGAAAGGAGATGCGGCGAACCGGAGGAGGGTGGGTGGAGGAGGAGGAGGAGGAGGACACATGTGAATTCAAGATCCACCAACGACGCTGCAGTAAGCCCTCCCTCAAAGTTCTCTGTTCGTACTCTTCGTAGGCTACTATAAGGATTTATCATTATTGCAGGAAAAAGCCCGTTGGAAGACAACCGTCTCGAAGTCTTTAACTGTGCCAGGGGACCTCTGTGCCAATGAAGGACCTCTGTGCCAAGGCCGACAGCGGCTATCGGAGAGCTATCGCAGGAATGCCGAGGAGGCTCGCTCAGGTCTCCAATGCGCGGCTGCTGCGCTCGGGGGCGCACTGCTGGCGCGGACTGCGCGCCGCTTGCAGGGCGACGCAGCGGCCGCGCGGAAACCGCTGAAGGCGCTCTCCGATGCGCTGGACGCGGCGGCAAGCCTACGGGAACGCCTGGCGCGCGCACAGTCCCGCTCTCCCCAGCTCCTCGGGCTTCTTGACGGCCATGCCCTGCAATGCCGCGCAGCTCAAGGTGGTCCCCGTGAATCCCGAACGGATTGCAATGCCTGCTGGCCGCGAAGGTCTACCAGGAGGGGGACTTCTGCCCGTTGTGCAACGGCGCGCTAGACGTGCGCGGCGTCCACGCCTCCAGCGCGCCGCGCAGCCCAGATCGTGAGTTACTTTTGCGTTGGGGCCGCGGTTTGCCTGCCAGACCTGGAGCGTGGTACCTTTATCCCGCCGCGCCCGGATGCCCGCGCTGACCACGGTTTCGGTCGGCCGGCAGATTTTCGCGCGGCGGTCACCTCTCCGCATCGGCAGGCCCTTGTCCAGCTGGCGGCCGAGGTCGCCGGGTCGACCTCGCGGTTCTACGAGGCCTGCAAGCGGTCCTTCCTTGACACGGAGGACCTCTGCACCCGGCAGGGGGTCGCCTCCTTCTTGCCGATGGTCGCCGAACGCTCCAGCGGCTGGGGCGCTTCTGGTTTCCA